GTGATCAAGCAACAACGAAGTTCGTGATCAAGCGACGGTGAAGCTCGTGACAAAATCTAAGTTCGTGACTCTTGAAAACGAAGTGTATTATCTCCTAATCTTCGATTCCATGCTCCTGATGGTCCATCACCATCTTAAGAAATGGACAGCAAAAGTGCAATAATTACCCCTAGTTGACTCATAATGCACTGAACCCTCTCCTCTGTTTTCTTTTGTGCATATATGATTGACATATATGTAGAAAGAAAAAAATTTTATCATCATACGTGCTGTCATGTAGATTTTATAATATTTTAATCATATAATAATCTAAAATAATTAATTTATTAGTTAGATTAATTTTAAAGACTATAGTTGAACAATTCACCTATTGGTATATATTTATTCCCAAAATATTTAGAGATAATATTCATATTTTGACCAATCAAATATATAGCTATTGGTTCATCCAATTTATGCTCTAAATAATTCCAATAATTTGAGAGATAATCTCATATTTTTTTGACCAATTAAAATTTAATTATTGGTCATTAAATTATCTCTATAATTATTATTAATTTAGAGATAAAAATCAAATTGGAATTATCTCTAAATAAATTAGAGATAATCACTAACTTCGGCCAATCAAATATCAAGGACTCAAAGTCGCCCAATCAAAAGACTTTCAATGGGTCATCATAATTTATCTCTAAATAAATTAAAAATAATTTAGAGATAATTCAAAGAGATTTCATTCTCATCAAAGTCCTCACTTAACATTATAAATAGGGGCTCCTCCAAGTCATTTCATTCATTCGGAAGCATTCAAAGATAGAGAAGCATTCGAAGATTGAGAGCATTTCAGAGATTAAGAAGAATATAAGATTTCTGTGGTGAAGATAAAGCAACAGGAAAGTTCGTGATAAAGCAACGGCGAGGTTCGTGATCAAGCAACAGGCGAAGTTCGTGATCAAGGCGAGGGTGAAGCTCGTGATTAAGACAAAGTCCAAGTTCGTGACTCTTGAAAACGAAGTGAAGAAATTAATCAAAGAATTTTCAGAGATTATCACTCACATCATCAAATATTTGTATTTGTCTCATAATTTTCAAGTCAAGAAATTTTGACGAGGAATTTGTATGTACAAATTTTGGCACACCCAGTGGGACGATCTCTGCCTCTCATCTTCTTTCTTCAAACAAATCTCCAAATATCTCCAAGTCGAAATGGCTCCTAAAAGGAATCTTGCCAATAAAGTGGTTATCAAGCCTGCAAGAGCGAATCCTGCAGTTTTTCCTACTTCATCATCAAGCACAGATGTTCCAACACATCCGTATGGCACTCAGAGAAAGACAATGGCTCTTACAATTGTATGAGCAAATCTCTCCAGTTCTCACCAAAATCTTTTGTATGATGCTTCTCTTCCAAGTTTGAGAAGTCTCTACTATACACTTGTTCCTCAAAGGATCAAGTACCAATCAACTCAAGGAACATGATGGCTACTCAAGTAGTAGCTCTGTTTCATCATCCCCTCGCCAAGGTTCTTCGTCAAAAGTAGACTCTGGAATGATGGTTGTCATGACAACTGGAACAGCATCTCTAGAAGAACAAGTTGCACTTCTTGCGAAGACTGTGGAATCTCTGACAACAAGCATCAGAGAAAAAGATGAACAAATTGCCTCAATGATGGTAAAAATTAATAGCTTTACTGGAAAGGCACAAATGGATCTTGGTCAAAATCAGCACCAAGATAATGAGGAGAATTCCATTGCGGAAGTGCAAAATAATCTCCAACAAAAATCTAATGAAGCAGTCACCACCAATCAATTAAAAGAACTCATCAAAGAAGCCATCAAGGAACAGGTGGAAAATGTTACTCAACCTTCATACACATATGCTAAGCCATACTCTCAAAGGATAGATCGTATGAGGATGCCGCCAAACTATCAACCACCAAAGTTCTAACAGTTTGATGGTAAAGGAAATCCTCGCCAGCATGTTGCACACTTCATAGAAACTTGTAACAATGCTGGCACTTATGGTGATCTTATGGTGAAGCAGTTCGTTCGCTCTTTAAAGGGCAATGCCTTTGATTGGTACACAGACTTAGAGCCTGGGATGATTGATAATTGGGAGCAATTAGAACGTGAGTTCCTTAATCGCTTCTATAGCACTCGACGTGTGGTGAGTATGATTGAACTCACAAGTTCGCGCCAATGGAAAGATGAGCCTGTGATTGATTATATCCATAGGTGGAGAAATCTCAGTCTCAATTGTAAAGAGCGACTGTCCGAATCCTCAGCTCTTGACATGTGCATCCAAGGGATGAATTGGGGATTACGCTATATTCTTCAAGGCATTAAGCCTAAAACTTTCGAAGAATTAGCTACACGTGCTCATGACATGGAATTAAGCATGTCAGCGGCTAGAAATCAAGGACCTCTAGTGCAAGAGCCAAGGAAGGGTAAGCAAGATGTCTGTAAAGAGGGCAAAGCTTTGGCAGATAAGGGTGAAGGAAAACAGTCTATGACTGTAAATACCAACCCATCAAGGTGGCTACCAATTCAAGAAAACCTAAGAAACGAAGCTTGATTCCCCACAGGATAAGAAGAAAGTGTCTTTGAAAGAAAGACAAGAGAAAAAGTATCCTTTCCCTGACTCAGATATCACAAAAATGTTGGAAGAACTTCTAAAAGCTAAGCTCATTCAATTGCCAGAGATGAAGCGACCGGAAGAAGCTGATCGAGTAAATGAACCCAACTACTGCAAATACCATCGTTTAATTGGTCACCCTATAGAAAAATGTTGTCTTAAAAGACAAAATCATGGGTTTATACCAAGATGGAAAAATTGAGTTTGAAGAAGAAACGGCTACAACAAATGTAGCATCGGCAACTAGCATGCTTTCTCCACTTAATGTGTGGAGCAGGATAAAATTCGGATCCTTCGACTATATAATGTTGGCATCGAACGGAGAGAAGACATCCAACCCTTAAGATAATGGGGGCAAAACTTATGGTTCTACAAGTCAAGAGCCAGACAATGAAGGATGGATCCTAGTTACTCATCGGAGAAGAAGAAAGAAAAGTCCTCCAAAGGACAGCAAGCACCAAAAAGATCCAAAATGGTGAAACAACCATCTAGGAAGATGATGCCAAAGAAAACATCGAGAAAAATAAGTATGGGCAAGTGTGAAAATTCGATGGTGCAAAGGCTTAGACGACCAATCACCTTGAATGATTTCATGCCAATACAATTCAAAAATCAAAAGCCAATTACCACATCATGTTTCCAAATTGATGAAGATGTTAGGGATGAAGAAAAAATTAAGTTTGATTCTAATTCTTCTTGTGGTGCAGAAATTACATTTTCTGATGAAGACTTGTTGTTAGGGTCTACCCCTCATAATCGGCCTCTTTTTGTTCAGGGATATAGTCGTGAACAGAAAATCAATCGGATCCAAATAGATGATGGATCTGCTGTCAACTTACTCCCACTAAAAACAATGAAAGAGATCGGAATGCCTCCCAACGAATTATCAAAGAGTCACTTAATGATCCAAGGTTTCAATCTTGAAGGGCAAAGAGCTATAGGAAAAGTTAGACTTCAACTTTTCATTGATGATATGGAATCCAATCCATTGTTTCATGTGATTGATGCTAACACAACATACAACATGTTGTTGGGGCGACCTTGGATACATCAAAATGGTGTAGTATCGTCGACACTTCATTAATGTTTCAAGTATTGTAGAAATGGTCAAGTGAAGACAGTTATAGCAGATGCTAAGTCATTTACTACAGCAGAGGCACACTTGGCTGATGCTAAATTCTATTTTGAAAGTACTTTTGCAGAAGAGCTACAATCTAAAGGCAATCAGGGAAATGATGAAGGACAATTATCAAAAGAAAAGGAAAAGAAACCGTTTTCATTTACAAGAGAAAATGTTGATCTTATCGAAGGCTTAAAAAATTTGACCTTGCCACTTACTAGTTTAGAAGAGTCAAAATTTGCTAAGTCTCCATTAAAAGGATTTGTAGGCCAACAATGGGTCATTGGTTGAACATGATGATCTTCCCTTTCTAAGAGTTAATGGTTGATCCTAATGCTTATAAGCTCCTAAAAATGGCGTAGCTATAAAGCAAGAAGAGTTTCTAAGTTAGTACACGACCTAGTGAACCAACCCAGAAACTTCACAAGATTCTTCAAGAATGGTAGAGTGTGGCAGAAAAAGACAAATGATGTCAAAGCTACAAAATCAGGGTTAGGATTTACACCCTTGAAGTTGAAGATTTATAAAGAAGTTGCAAGATATGTAACGACTGAAGAAGTCGACGATGAGAAAGAAACCCTAGTAGAGTCATCTAGATTTCAGTTTTCAATCGCTTGGACTCGAACTACAGTTTTTGATCGATTAAGCATGCCTTTAGATCAAGGTTCAATGTTTAATCACATCAAGAAAGTTCTACAAACAGACTTCAAGAGTTATCAATTCAAGGCTAAAGAGAAAACCCTCACAAAAGAAGAATAAAAAGAGCCTCATGACACATGAATTAAAGGATTGTCATAGCATCATCCTTTCACGGATGAAAAGAAAATGTGAATTGATTGTGACAAATGATGAAACATTAAAGGCTAGAAGGCGCACTGTGGTTGTGACTAAACAAGCCTCATCTTCAAAAGGAAAAAGCAAAGAAAAATGCAAATCTTCACATGTAATCATGTGTCATAGTGGAAAGTGATGAAAAATCTGAAGAAAAAGATATCCAAGAAGCTCCTCCATCATTAGAGGAGGAAATCGGCCTACGATTGATGAATAAAGAGAGTTAATATAGGCACTAAAGAATATCCTCGTCCAATCTCTTAAGTGCTTGTTTAACTTCTGAAGAAGAAAAACCTTATCTTGACCTTTTGACAAGGTATCGAGACATCTTTGCATGGACTTACAAAGAAATGCCAGGATTGGACCCTAAAGTTGCTGTGCATCATCTAGCAATAAAGAAGGGCGTTCGACCCATAAAACAAGCTCAACGACGTCTTCATCCTAACTTAATCTCCAAATAGAGGCTGAGGTCAATAAACTCATTGAGGCTGGCTTTATTCGAGAAGTCAAGTACCCTACTTGGATCTCAAGTATTGTTCCAGTTAGAAAAAAGAATGGCCAAATTCGAGTTTGCGTGGATTTTCGAGATTTGAACAATGCTTGCCCAAAGAATGACTTCCCTCTTCCTTTGACAGAAATAATGGTGGATGCAACAACTGCCATGAGGCTTATTTTTATGGATGCCTCCTCTGGATATAATCAAATTCGCATGGATCCAAAGGACGAAGAGCTCACTGCATTCCGAACTCCTAAAGGAATATACTGTTACAAAGTTATGCCTTTTGGATTAAAGAATGCAGGTGCCACTTATCAAAGAGCAATGCAAAAGATATTCAATGATATGCTACACAAGAATGTGAATGCTATATGGATGATTTGGTGTTAAGTCCAAAAAAGAGTTGATCATCTTGAAGATCTTCACCAATTTCGAGAGATTACGTCGTATCATTGAGATGAACTCTTAAAGTATGCCTTTGGAGTATCTTCGGGAAAATTTTGGGATTCATAGTCCGTCATCGTGGATTGAATTGATTAATCAAAAATAGATGCAATCATGAAAATGCCAGAGCTAAGCAATCCACAAACTTAAAAGTTTGCAAGGAAGATTGGCTTATATTCGGCGCTTCATATCCAACTTGGCTGGTAGATATCAACCATTTAGTCGATTGATGAAAGAAGATATGCCTTTATTTGGGATGAGTCTTGTAGTAATGCTTTTGAAAGCATAAAGTCTTATCTACTAAGGCCTCTAGTTTTAAAGGCTCCTACACCAGGATGTCCATTGATCCTTTACATTGCAGCACAAGAACGTTCTTTAGGAGCACTTTTAGCACAGCAAAATGACAAAGGAAAGGAAAGTGCGACTACCTTAGTAGAACTCTTAATGGCGCAGAATTAAATTATTCTCCCATTGAGAAAACTTGCTTAGCATTAATGTTTGCAATTAAAAAATTAAGGCATTATTTGCAAGCTCACTCTATTCATTTAATTTCACGAGCAGATCCCCTCAAGTATCTAATGTCAAAATCGTGCTTAGTGGGAGATTGGCAAAATGGGCTCTTTTGCTACAAGAGTTCGACATCACATATATCCCTTCAAAAGGCCATCAAAGGACAAGCACTTGCAGATTTTCTTGCAGACCATCCAATTCCCGATGATTGGGAATTCTCTGAAGATCTCCCTGATGAAGATGTTCTCTACATTGAAATCCCTAAGCCATGGAAGCTATACTTTGATGGAGCAGCTCGACAAGACGGGGCAGGTGCAGGAGTCATCTTTATCACCCCAGAAGGAGAAGTATTGCCTTACACATTTACTCTTATCGAAAATTGTTCCAATAATGTGGCTGAATACCAAGCCTTGATCATGGGTTTGGAGACGGCATTGGACATGCAAATCACTCAACTTAAGGTGTTTGGAGATTCTAAGTTGGTTATCAACCAAGTCCTTACACTTTATGAAGTTAAAAAGCTGAGCTCTTGCCATATGTCAACTATGTTAAGAAACTTTTGAAGTGGTTTGACAAAGCTAGCATAGAACATGTGCCTAGGAAAGAAAATAGGCAAGCAGATTCTTTGGCTAATTTGCCATCAGCAATTGCATTGTCAAATAAAGAATTAAAAGTGCCTCTTTGCAAACGATGGATCTTACCACCAATCACTTTGGATGAAGAGATCGATGTAGAGTCTAATGTCATCTCAATCCTTGAAGTAGGAAAAGAAGATTGGCGACAGCCGTTGATCAACTACCTACAGCATGGGAAGCTTCCTAATGATCCAAGGCACAAAACAGAAATAAAGCGCGAGCTTCTCGATTTATTTATTTCAAAGCTACACTCTATCGTCGTTCTTTGACGGATCTTCTTCGTTGTTAGAGATGAAGAAGCATACAAGGCCTTACAAGAAGCTCACTCAGGAATTTGTGGGGCACATCAATCTGGAGCCAAGTTGCACTTCCAAATCAAAAGAATGGGGTACTATTGGCCAACTATGGTGAAGGATAGCATGGACTATGCTAAAAGATGTCAAGCATGTCAATTTCATGCTAATTTCATTCATCAGCCCCCTGAGCCACTCCACCCAACAGTTACCTCGTGGCCATTTGATGCTTGGGGACTCGACTTGGTTGGACCATTACCTAAAAGTTCCACAGGGCATCTCTACATACTTGCAGCCACAGACTACTTTTCAAAGTGGGCAGAAGCAGCATCTTATCGAGAAGTAAAGAAAGAAACTGTTGCTACCTTCATTAGAACAAACATCATTTATCGTTATGGCGTGCCACGATGCATCATAACAGATAATGGAAAACAGTTCACAATGGAGAAGTTATGTGCACAGTTTAACTTCAAGCAATATAATTCTTCCATGTACCATGCACCAGCAAATGTGTTAGTAGAAGCCTTCAACAAGACTTTGTGCAATTTGCTCAAGAAAGTTGCTAATCGCGTAAAAAAAGATTGGCCAGAGAAAATAGGAGAAGCTTTATGGGCTTATCGTACGACATTTCGTACACCTACTCAAGCAACTCCGTACTCGCTTGTTTATGGTGTGGAAGCTGTTCTCCCATTAGAGCGTCAAATTCCATCATTGAGAATTGCCATTCAAGAAGGTCTTTCAAATGAAGATAATGTTCGCCTACGCCTTGAAGAACTCGAAGCATTGGATGAGAAAAGGTTGGAAGCATAACAACGCTTGGAATGTTATCAAGCTCGATTGTCCAAAGCTTTTAACAAGAAAGTTAAACCACGATCATTCCAAGTTGGAGACTTAGTTCTTGCAGTGCGAAGACCCATAAATACTACACATCGTATGGGTAACAAGTTCCTCTCAAAGTGGGATGGACCATATGTTGTTCAAGAAGTCTACACTCATGGTGCATACAAAATTGTTGATCAAGATGGAGTAAGAGTTGGCCCAATTAATGGAAAATTCTTGAAACGCTACTACGCTTGAAGGACAGATGCTCCTCGACAAGAGCTTAAACTGCACCAAAAAAAAAAGCCTGCTAAGTTGAAAATCCTTAACAGGACGACTTAGGCAAAAGTTAAGGAAAAAAAAAAAAAGATATGAACTACGTTATGACTTGATCCTTCTTTATATTAGGAGGTACGTAGGCAGCTTGGTCCTATTGCCAAGTTCAGTCAATCACATCAAAAAAAAAATCTCTTGCATTAAGCATGGCTCAATTCTTTATGATGATGAAGCTACAGAGATAGAAGATCGAGTTTGTACTTCTTCGTCAAGTTATGCAATTCAATCAATTAAATTGCAATCTCAAGTTGAATTGTTGTAAAGTTTAATTGGTGTCCAAGAAAATTTGTTGAATATAAAGTATCTTGAAGCTTTTATAGGATTATCTTTTAAATTATTTTTTTCACAAGTAAAGAAAAGCAATAAAAAAATTAATCTTTATTGCTAATTTGAAATGCATTACAATGTGAAAGAAAATTTTAAAGGTCTAAATCCTATAAAAAAAAAAAGCTACATGAATAAGGAAGTAATCAAATCAAGGCTTCCACTTGAAATTGTTTAGTTCTTCTCGAGAAGATTCCAACATATTCCGCAACAATTTTAGGGAATTAACTTCGCTTTCACTCAAAGTAGGTGAGGACTTGATGGAAGTTATCTCTTCATTAATATCGAAAATATTAACTTCCCTCATCTTCACCTCTTTTTTATTTGCTTTAAGAGAAGACTCAATTTCACCCTTCTTGCGACATAAGGCATCTATTTCCTCTTGAAGATTTGTTAACTCAGCTTTCAAACCATTGGCCTCCTCAACAAATTTTCTCTTAAGAGACTCCTCATCCTTGAGACGAATAACTAGTTTTTGAAGTTTCTCGTCTTGATTTTTTGTAGACGCACTACTAAAGGATGATTCAAGGTCAATAAATTTGTGAACTTGTCCAAAGTATTCTTGAACCATGTTCCTCAATGAGGATGAATCTACAGTCTCGACCCCTTCTATTACAGCAAGAACTTTTTGAACCTCAGTAGTGAGAGAAGAAACTTGATCGAAAGGAGTTTTGACAAATTTTGGTTGAATGCTCTCCCATAAAGTCATGACAAGTTTTGAATGACCATCATGGATCACTTTATCAGCACTAAATTTAGAAGCTTTTGGAAATGCAAGATGACTAGCCTTGACCACAACTCGGTCGTATTCTTAGAAGCATCACCAATTTCCTTAGTGATTACACGAGGAGAAATATTTTCTTGACTTGAGGATGCATCTGAAATCTCGCGAGCAAAATAGTTTTCTACCTCCGTTGCAAGCTTGTTAAATCCATGTGGATTAGAAACTGAAGCTATGCTAACAGTAGGAACGCTTCATTGACAACCTCCTTGGTTGGATCTTGGTTTTGAACCTAAAAAAAAAAAGAAGAATGAAAGTTAGTTTCGCAAAATAGTTAAAAAAAAAGATACACAAAATTCATGATGCAATTACCAATCATTGAAGTTATCTGGAAGTACAAACAACTCAAAATGTCTTCAAGAAATGAAAGCCAGCATGGTATGATACCTTTTGTTTTTTGGGGTGACTCGCTTCAATGTTTATCACGATCGGTTTCACTATCAGAATCTTCAATAGCTATTGTACCTTGGTGCCCAAAATTTTTTTCAAGAATTCCTTGTTCAGTATTTGGAAGTAATTGAAGGCTTTTTGCTTTCGAAGGTACCTTGCGTTTGTCTCTACTAGAAAGATTTGTTGCAACAAGCATTTGATTCTCACCTTGTTCTATTTTAGAAGGCCTTTCCTTTTGTTGTCTTAAGCGCTTGGATGGAGTTTGATGGGTACTAAAGATCAAAGCTTCAATACTATGTTCAAGGTAAGGATTATGAACTTGGGACCACCATTCCATATAACTCGCAGTGGCTTGATCATTAATATTCAAGGGACGAGCTGGAGAAATTAATCTCGGCTGAGTATTAGAAAGCGTGCAAGTTTGCCAAAATTTCAATAAGTCATCCACTGAGCCTGAGCGAATATTAATCTTAAGATTTCCAGGAACATCTTGACAAAAGCCGAATTGTCTTCCAAAACGATGAGGAATATATGGCTCCACAATAATAGTATTGTGGCATCGGACAGGCAAGTAGCTTGAACGAACGCTAACTAAATAATCATGTCGCAAAGGATCTAGTGGTCTAGTGTCGATGATAATCTCACCTCGATTCTTGGAATATAAATTTGCATCCCACACTAGCTTTGTGTGAATCAAATTACGCGCTTCTGGTTCACTGAAATATTTAGCCCCACCTTCTCCAGAGAATTTCACCATCGAGGGTCCTATTACTTCTTGTGGAGTTGAAAAATGAGTTTCAAAATAATATCCCAACCACCCATAAACATAATGAATAGGAAAACATGCATCTGAAGAACCAGCTTGAGTGGAAAGGGCAATCTGATTAAGCCCTCGATAAATCTGAGCAAGCACTGGAATGGCAAGATTAACACCTTTAGAGCCAGTAGCTATGAGGCTAGCAATCTTAAATGTCTCAGGTCGAATCATAGACTCTACGCTTGGAAAAACAAATACACAAAGCCAACAAGAAAAGAAAGCAACCAAATATGTATCAGCCTCATGATTTTCTTTAACACCAAGTTCATTGCATGCTTTAGCTCTACTCGAGGCCCAAGTTTCATGTTTCTTGACAATCCCAATTGGGTTGTGCGTCGCCTTCGGACGAGTTGACTTCTTGGCTTTACGAGCTGGAGGTTTTTGATAGCGTAATTTACCTTGAAACCAAAAGTTGATCCAATCGTTGACAAAGACTTTACCTTGATCATCGTTTCTTTTGTGCAAATGATGAAAGCAGCAAATAAGTGTCACAACTTTGGGAAGAAATTTTTCCCATTAGCACCAACGCCAATCAATTCTTTAGTAGAAGGAATGACTTCATCATAAAACCAACCATGAAGAGGAAGACCACCCAATTTGTGCAAGTCCCATAATGATAAGGAAGCCTCTCCAAAAGCAGTATGAATGGTGTTTGTGGTTGGACACCAACTCTCACAAAATGCTCGAATGACACCTTTATTACGATCATAAGTATATAAAGATGCGTAAATAGCATCAGCCATCTTCATATCACGTAAGAGCTTTTCATATCGAAATAACACATCTTCAGTCCACTCCCAATATTTAGGAATATACTTAAATTCTCCATTGATCGTGAAAGAACTGCCCCAATAAGCCTCACTAGAAATTTATACGGCTTGCCAACGTGATAAATTCTCTGACTGAAAGTTTTGTCATGAAGATAAGTTGGAGACATCGAGCTGTTAAGAAGATTGCAAGATCTTGATTGGCTTAGAAGTCCATTCTTCCAAAGTCGTAGGAACATCGAGTGGTTGAGATGCCAAAAAATGACCAACTATGGGTCTCACTATGGGAAGAAACAACCCTTTCTTCATATCTTCATCTTTTTTTGAAAGAATAACAAGTTGATTTTTGTAGTCCTTGAAGTATACCATGGTGATTCTAAATTATGTGCTAATATAAAGAGCACCTCCCAAGGATCAACAAGTGCTATTATAAAGAACACCCTCCAAGGATAATGAATCGTGTGCTAGTATAAAGAGCACCTCTCAAGGATCAACAAGTGCTATTACAAAGAGCACTTTTCCAAGGATAATGAATCGTGTGCTAGTATAAGAGCACTCCCAAAGATCAACAAGTTGCTATTATAAAAGTACTATCCGAGGATAATAAATTGTGTGCTATTTTAAAGAGCACCCCCCAAGGATTAATAAGTGCTATTATAAAGAGCACCCTCCGAGGATAACAAATCACGTGCTATTGTAAAGAGCACCACCTTAATTTGCTGCACTTCAATTTAAACTTGCTTTGATGATGGGCTGATAAATTTGATATTTAATTGTAAAAAAAAATGTCAAATTGTTAGTCTAAAACAACAATTTTGAAAAAAAAAATCAATCAAAAAAAATTGTGGCAATATAAATGGTGGCTTGTAGGATATATATATATATATATATATATATTTTTCTTACATAGCAATTGAAACATGTCAAGATATAATCAAGTATGGGCATGGCCATTGTAACGTGGCAATGATGGATTTTTTTTTAGCATGATGATTTGCAACATCCAAGACGTTGACTAAGCAAGGTATACTAAAGCTTAACAATATGCATGGCTTGCTTGATATGCTTGTAACGTGACAAGTGTTTTCATGACAATTGAAACATGTCAAGATATAATCAAGTATGGGCATGGCCATTGTAACGTGGCAATGATGGATTTTTTTTAGCATGATGATTTGCAATTGTAACATCCAAGACGTTGACTAAACTAATATTCTAGAGCTTAGCAATTTGCATGGATTAAAGGCATGGCAAGAATCAAAGAACAAGAAAGAATTGGCAATCGGTTTACCATGTAAGGCTTGAAAAAAAAAAAAAAAAGAAAGATGCTTTCACCAACAAGAAGTATGCTACCTTTACTTGATGGTTGAAGAAATCTTGAAGCTGCAAGTATGAATTGTTGTGCGGATTGAAGCAATTGCAACTAAAATATTATGAATTCCAATGTTGATGTGTGAGAATTGGCAAGGGTCCTTTTTATAGAGTAAAAAAGGAGAATCCTAGTTAATTAAGGAATACTATCCTAGTTAATTAGGAATGCATACCAATTGCAATATACTTCTTTAAAATTATAATTCTATTGCAATATACTTCTTCTAAAGTTATAATTTTCTTACCTATGAGTAAGCATAATTCAAATTTAATTTGGATTGGAATTATACCAAGTCATGTTAGGATTTTAAGAAATCCTAAAGATTTTAAAATTTCAAGACTTGTCCACTTGTCACATTCAAAATCATGTGTGAACAAGTCTTGAGGGGGCATTTGTAGAAGAAAAAAAATTATCAGCCAATTACGTGCTGCCATGTGGATTTAATAATATTTTAACCATATAATTAATTATAAAATAATTAATTTATGGTTAGATTAATTTAAAGACATATAGTTGAACCAATTCACCTATTGGTATATATTTTACTCTCAAAATAATTTAGAGATAATATTCATTTTGACCAATCAAATATTAGCTATTGTTCATCAATTTACTCTAAATAAATTCTAAATTATTTAGAGATAATAATTTATATTTTGACCAATCAAATATTAGCTATTGGTCATATCATTTATCTCTAAATAAATCTAAATTATTAGAGATAATATTTATATTTTGACCAATCAAATATTAGATTTGTCATCCAATTTACTCTAAATAAATCCAAATATTTGGAGATAATCTTATATTTTGACAATTAAAATTTAATTATTGGTCATTTAAATTATCTCTAATAATTATATTAATTTAGAGATAAAATCAAATTGGAATTATCTTTAAATAAATTAGAGATAATACCTAACTTCGCTAATCAAAAATTCAAGGACTCAAAGTCCGGCCAATCAAAGACTTTTCAATGAGTCATCATAATTTATTCTCAAATAATTAAATAATTTAGAGATAATTCAAGAGATTTCATTCTCATAAAGTCTCCACTTTAACTGTGTTATAAGCCTTTTGTTATAGTTTCCTTTATCTAGTTGTCAGCTCATCAGACACCTCTGACGATTGCCAGTCCCCATTTGAGGACTCTGTTGTTCATTGCAAGCCTCATGAGGCTCTGCTTTTTGTAGTCTCCATATGAAACTTTATGAATAAATTCAGTAACGCGCATGGTTGAATGATGTCCATGTAACTGTTGTGGCTTGGGATTTCCGTGGTGGTCATGGATAGAATCCATCTATTCTCTTTCGAGTGTTAATTATCTCCTAATCTTCGGTTCCATGCTCCCGATGGTCCAACACCATCTTAAGAAATGGACAGCAAAAGTGCAATAATTACCCCTAGCTGACTCATAATGCACTGAGTTTGGGAACATGTGGTTACTGACCCCTCTCCCCCTGTATTTCTTTTGTGCAGATATGATTGACATATAATGCAGCCGGACTGATATGATTGATGTGTCTGAGACTACTGTTGTACATTTTTCTTGTCTCATTCATGTCTATTATTGAATGAAAATGATCTTGTTAACTACATCCAACCATCACTGTTTACTGGCTAATATGTGCTGCAATATAAGCACGAAGCAGTAACCGCCATAAAACAACCCATACATGTAGGCAGGAACACAAGGCCCCTGAAACAAGCATTGCAGAACACCAACAAAACCTTTCCAATAACCCCCGCAGGCCTGCAATGACTCAACTCCCTTAAAAACAACAATGAAAAAACACAGATCCTTACAATAAGTAACAGCACCTGGAACGACATAAAACCAAACCCTACTTTCACCTAACAGATTCCATCAAACAAAGCCCAAACCAAAAGGCACTTGGATATCTCCTCAGGATTGAGGTTTCTATGTAGCCTACAATGATTATTGACTCCACATGAATTAACTTTCTAAGAAGAGGTAAACTTGTGTAGTTTAAAGCTATCTCAGCGGGGATAATTAAACGCTTTAGCTTAATTATCCTGAGATCCGATTTGTTTTTTTTCAAAAAAATTATCCTGGGATCATGTAAAAAATATAAAATAGATTTTTAATTCCAATACCTTGACAGGCCAGAATAAATTGTAGTAGATCTTTTACCACAATAATGGCTGACAACATCACTTGAAAGGCACGTTAAATTAGAAAACCCAGAAAGATCGCAAACCCACCAAAGTGCGCAGCCAACTACGTACAAATCTCCTTTAGGCTTCGACCCAAGTTAACGAATCAAGATACGATGAGACTTAACGAACAAAGCTTCTATGAGTCGTTGGATGAGATGATTGAACAAAGTCTAGGGGGTTTTGGACATGTACAGTTGATACAAGCAATTCTTGTTTCACTGCCTCTGCTCTTTGACGCCCAACAAACATTCATTAGCGTCTTCACCGACGCGGTTCCGACATGGCACTGCACTGATGATACTACTTGCAGCTCAAATTTACACATTTGCAGTCTTTCTAGGAGTTCATGGTCTTGGGATGGTCCTTCTGATAGGACGATCGTCTCGGAATGGAGCCTTGAATGTGCTAGTTCAATCATCACTGGCTTACCTTCATCGTCCTTCTTCATGGGGTGCCTGTTGGGTGGGTTTGCCTTCTCGACACTCGGTGACTCATGGCTTGGCCGTAAGAAACTGCTTTTCTTCTCATGTTTGGCAATGTCTATATCTGCTTCTGCTACCATTTTATCCGCCAATATCTGGATATATTCGCTCCTGAGATTTGTCTGTGGATTTTTCCGTTCATCTATCATGACAACAGCCCTTGTGTTGTTAATGGAGATGGTTGGAAAGCGTTGGCGTGGTCAAGTAGGGATTATTGCATTTTTCTTTTTCACCCTAGGATTATTATCTTTGCCAGCTATAGCTTACACTAACAGAGGTTCCTCATGGAGAATTCTTTATTTTTGGACTTCCATCCCAGCAATAGCTTACTGCACAATAGTTTATTTCTTTGTTTGTGAGTCCCCAAGATGGCTTTTCCTGCAGAGGCGTGAAGTTGAAGCTATGGCAGTTCTAAAAAAGTTTGGACCAGTTAATGTTGATGGCTTCAACTCATATCTAGCTGACATTCCTCTGCAGGAGGAACTGACTAATAAGTTGGACAAGTACGCATCCATGAAGGACTTGTTTCGGAGAAGATGGGCTCTAAGAAGGCTACTAGCTGCTATGGCCCTTGGTTTTGGCGTTGGAATGGTTTACTACGGCATGCTGTTGGGTGTTGGAAATTTGGGTATCAATACATACTTGAGTCTTACTTTAAATGGCTTATTAGACATCCCAGCCTATTTCCTTACCTTCCTCCTGATAGGAAGATGTAAAAGGACAACTTCCATGCTAACATTTTCGATTGCAAGTGGGGTATGCAGTATAATTTGTGGTGCACTAAGTGAGCACGGAGGCATTCAAATTGGACTAGAGCTAGTAGCTTTTTTTAGTTCCTGCACGGCATTCAATGTAGTATTGATATATGTGACAGAGTTGTTTCCCACATCTGTGAGGAACTCGGCCACATCAATGGTGAGGCAGGCGCTCATCTTTGGTGCTGTGTTCAGTCCTTTACTGACTTCTGCAGGTAGAAAAAATGAGTTTCTCTGCTATGGAGTTTACGGGTTTGTCATATTGTGCTGTGGGTTGTTCGTGGCTTATCTGCCTGAGACAAGGGGAATGGTTTTGTTTGATACCTTGGATGAACAAGAGTCTCATGATAACACAATCGTTATTGTAAGCTGATTAAGCTGTTGACTAACGAGGGATACAGTGTATTGTACTGGCTGCTTGCCGCAGTATCCAGCCACTGCCTCTGCTTTGTGCTTGTTGTTACCCGCTGTTATTCTTGTTTCTTTACATATTTTCCTTTTTTTGCCATGGCTTAAATACTAAAAAAATTCATCCCTAGATCTAGATTCCACAAGGTTAGGACTATAGGCAAAAAGAGAACATTTTCTGCATGTGCATATGCGAGGGGCAGGTTGGCCTCTTTCACCCTTTTAGATTGATTTTTGCGTAGCATTATGTCACGGGCCACATGTCACGGGCCACAGCCCAGACCCGCCAAGAGGCCCAAGAGGGTGCCAGCCCACCAAGACCCATGTATGGTGCCAGCCCACCAAGACCCATGTAGGGATTTCCCTCCCAAATGAGCTTCTAGAAACCTTAGTTTCCCTCCCAAATGGTTTTGGAGGAAAATCTTTTGGAGGGAAATCCTTTGGAGGGAAAATTTTAGAGGGAAATGGATGGGGAACCTTGGCTATAAATAACCCCATCCTCCTTGTGTAAATCATCCAACACATTTGTATCTCAATTCATTCAATACAAGCTTAGTTTTTCTCTCTAGCATTCTCTTCCCATTTTTCCTTCCTCGTTTATGCAAGCTTGCTTGCCGGCTTAAAGCCATTGTGTGGGTGTTGAGTGCTTGTTGGGCGAGTGCTGAAGCACTAAGGCTGACTTGGGTTCTAAGTGCCGAGATAAGGGTTGAGCCCAAGGCCGCACGGAAGGTGGTCTTAAGTATCGCCCCGTGACAACTACATGTGGTTTTAATTAGACAAAATTGTGAAAAATAATCCTCCTCATAAATTTAATTCAAAAATATCCTTCATTATAATTTAATTATTTTTAATCAATTTTTGACATGATTTGACAACAATGCTCTTTAAACAATTTCAGACAAATTAAAATTATTTCAATTTTCTCTATCCCGCCATCCAAATAAAAATTTCAAAATTAAATCCTTATTTCTCTTTCTTGCAAAATACTGTCTATCTTGCCATCCAGATCTTTCTCGCCATCCCAAAAAATAAAAATGAATCAAGATATGTGTTTTAGGTTCTTGGGTTTATTGATTTATTTATAGAATCTCAAAGTTAAGGGATTGAAATTAATTAAACATATTTATAAATTAGAATACTGTATGACTTTGGCAACTTAAACTTGGTTATGAGCGGACAAATCAATTACTTAATAGGCATTGCATTATTGGTTTTTAGGTATTGTGTCACTA